TTGCTACCACCAACACGTGCGAAAAAGCTATCGTGTTTGTACGCGTAAAGAAATCAAACCACATTCTTGGAAATTCCAACCCTCTTCAAAACCCTACAGCATACTTGTACGTAGCTTTTTTTCTGCACTGACGGTGCCCCAAAAAGCTCGGTCTCCTAATCAGTTTTTGAGCGTGTGGTATACATACCACCCCTTTTTCTTAAAATGAAATATTTATTGCCGGCTGTGGGGGACGAAGCGGAGAAACTTCTGGTGGAATTTTCTTCGGAAGACCAATAAGTCGACATACCTTTGATAGAAAGCTAACACAAAAACTGTCATAAGTAGCTAAACGGGCTTTCTCTTTTTACATATTATTTGCTCCGTACATCCGTTTCAAGTTCTATTGTATTTTGCCAGTGTTTCTGGTACAACATGCGTCCAAGACAAAAGAGAACGTCTTGCTTCCTTGTCCCAGAGGCCATTCAGGTCACCTTCGAGTACAGTCGAACACGTGTAGCCGCTTGCGGTAGGGCTGCACATACACACGTGTATGTTACGTTGAGGTCTGTTTCTCGACCCCCGCCGTTTGGACGGTAACATTTTATGCTATTTCTACGCCACACTAAAACACAACACTCATGGTTGCCTTTCTGGACGAGCGCGCTTTAAGGTGTACCGTACACTCCGGACGCGCACGTTGAAAGACTTACCATGGTATTGTTTTTGTGGAAACACCAAGAACTCACCCGACATTTTCGGAAACGAAGCGGTTTTCGCCGCAAGCTGGATGTTGCTACTACTCTACCTTTTTGGCACGGTAAAGGTGCGAATGTCAATTGCCGAGAAGGTACTTCGTATACAACGATTCTTAAAAAGCAACCAAACCCGCACTCCTACGGACTTTCGCAACATGTAGGCTCGCTGCTGCAGCACAGGGGTGCTTTCTCTATCGTGTTGCTGATACTACACACAATTCCCTACTAATACTACTGGCTCTTGGCTGCCACACCTTTTATCCATATTCCAGTCTTGTCACCACCCTGGAGAACAATGAATAGGACTGTACACGCAGTGTGATCTCGTATCAAGTCTGACCTGGCGCCGTGTCCTCTTCCAAACGAGTCGTTCTCTATTGCACAGCAGCACGAACGGAAGCCTCGCAAGTGTTGGTTTTCACAAAGTCTTGTAGTGTTGGTTTTCACACATGGGCACGCAAAGGCGTGACACCCTACCGCTTTGTTGAAACCAACCATCGTTCGTTTAGTTGCGCTACAAATAGTTGCGTTAATCCCCGCCATGCCAACCACTGTGGGTCTTCGCCTGTCTTTCCGCCCGTCTGTTTTGGATAAAGGATGACATCACGCAATACGGACGGATTTTGTCACCGGCCCTTGGCATCCCCACCCTCTCTCTCTCTCTGTTTCCGTGCATGGGATATTGCATCGAAACATCAATATTCATATCACGTGGCCGTACATTCATGTTGCGTCTGACTGTTTTTGCCGGATTCCTTTTTTTCGACCCTCTTCTCACGGAGTATCTAGAATACATCAATCCTCTGCCCCGGCTGCGCAGCACAGCTTGTTGTTTTTCGAGTGATCCCTCTTCCAACTTTCTTCCAACTTTCTTCCAACTTTCTTCCCACTTTGTACTTGTGCCCCACCTCCCGCAAGGCGACTCGTGTTCTCATGGGTTTAACACAATCTGCATCACACGTGCCCCACCTGCTATCTGTCCTCAATGTCCTCAACCGCGGTAACTATAATGGTACTTTCCATGGAATATGACAGCATCGAGTGCCGACGTGTGACGTAATGCGGTTTCAAGACTTGAAGGCCGTCATGCAGTGGACTCATGACAGGAAAAATAACAATCTCCCACGAATTCTTTCTCGGGCATGCATTGTATTGTGCAGCCCTACCCTTCCATGCCATTGGTTCTCGTCCTATCTATTCTGTTCTGGGAGCCAGTCTACACGTTTGGGGAAGCGTTTGACGAATCAGGCGGGGGAAAATAACACAGACAGGAGGCCAACTCTCCACCTTCCTCTTTCCTTTCCTCCTGAGGCGCTTGTCTTCAATTCTGACCGCAAAATAAGGGCGTTATACCTTAACCACTAACGCTACATCAGTGCAGACAGAGGGAGCTACCGAACAGAGAGGTCGGACACGTGACGATAACAACAACGACACAGAAACAAAACAAACACGGGTAACCTGGAACTGGCGTTTCAGTCGAAGAAAACAGAAAGCTTCAGACTTTAGGGAAGGTCGTCCAAAAGCAAAGGAGCGCTTTCCGGTGTAGAACGTGGGCATGATGCCACACACGGTGCTCTCTGGATGTCTTGGGAATTAAGGGTGGCCGTAATGCTACGGTCAGAGCGAGGGCAATGCCAAGAGTCATCTCGAAAGGGTCATCAAGTTCTGATACCGACACCCACATCTTCGTGTACAACAAGTTCGAATCAATCCGGCCTACACACTCAAGACGAGTAACACTGCTCCCTTCCTGCTGCTGCTGCTGCTGCTCATGACCGATTGTGTTGTGTGTCCCCGCATGGGTAATGGCGCGACTGAACCATGCTTTGCACCACCACCTATCCTAGGCCGGAACACGAAACACAGTACATTCTTCCCTCGGATAACCACACCATTCATAAGGACATCTCTCTCCCGGGTAAGGACACGATTTGTTTCAACAGGTATGGTGCCCCGCAGAATGTACAACTACCAGGGGGTATCAATGTCAAGGACACTTCCCCCCTGCATACGGACACCTTTTTCAACGAAATACAATGTGTGTCCTTTAGATTAGGCTTCGCGATGATATTAATATTGCTTTCAGTAGGGGGTGCGGGATGGGGTTGGGGGTAAGCATTAGGGACAGGGATACGACCTCCCCTCTCTATTTCATATATGAGCAATAAACCCCCCGCCAAGGCGGTACGTGACCTTGACCGGGGGCGACTGTAGTGGGATGTGAGTAGTCTGGCGGGGGGGGGGGGGGGGGGG